AATAATAATAATAATAATAATAATAATAATAATGATGATGATGATGATGATGATGATGATGATGATGATGATGATGATGATGATGATGATGATGATAAAGTTGGAAGGGACCTTGGAGGTCATCTAGTCCAACCCCCTGCTCAGGCAGGAAACCCTATACCATTTCGGACAAATGGCTGTCCAGTCTCTTCTTAAAAACTTCCAGTGTTGAGCATTCACCGCTTCTGGAGGCAGGTTGCTCCACTGGTTAATTGTTCTCACTGTTAGGAAGTTTCTCCTTAGTTCTAGGTTGCTTCTCTCCTTGATCAATTTCCACCCTTTGCTTCTTGTCCTGCCTTCAGGCGCTTTGGAAAATACCTTGACTCCCTCTTCTTTGTGGCAGCCCCTGAGATATTGGAACACTGCTATCATGTCCCCCCTTGTCCTTCTCTTCATTAAACTAGACATACCCAATTCCAGCAACCGTTCCTTATATGCTTTAGCCTCCAGTCCCCTAATCATCTTTGTTGCTCTTCTCTGTACTCTTTCTAGAGTCTCAACATCTTTTTTACATTGCGGTGACCAAAACTGGATGCAGTATTCCAAGTGTGGCCTTACCAAAACATTGTATAGGAAGAGAGGTATAGGAAAGAGCATAAAGTTGCAGTCAGACCTATCCCATTTCTGCAGCATGGCTATGATTGGTAGGTGTTTTCCCACAGGCTAATAACATTCAGAAGGAGGAAGACAGCAAAAGCAGTGGAATCTACCCATTACTTTCTTTAATTTCTGCCCTCGTACTTCAGATGTTCAGGCTGGTGGCATGGAAAAGTCAGCTTGGTACTCTTTCTGAGGATGTGAAGAAGTGGTATTGGTATTAGAGATACAAACCAGAATTGTTTAATGTTAATTGAGAATTAATATAGGTGACCGATGCTGCTGAAGTTTAAAATAGATGAGATTTTAAAGGCAAATCTTCAAACCGTAGCATAACTAAACCCTGTAATATGATGTTTAAATTAATGTTTAAATTTAAATTAAAGTCCGGAGCCTTCTAGATGCTTGCTGGAATTCTGGGTGTTGCAGCCCAAACACCTAGGAAGGGCAGCAGAGTGGGAAAGCAGCTGTAATGGTTTAGCGCTGGCGTATAAATACTTTCACATAGTTGCAGTCAAAACTCTCTATGTTAATTTGTCATTATTTTATAGATTGATGAAAACAACAAAGGACTGAAGGATGTGGAATATAATAAAGAACATTCACATTCAAGAGGATTTAACGACTCCTTAGAGATTTCTAATGGCACCTGGCATTTTCTGAAGATTAAACATGCTACACACTTCAATAGTGGAACTTATAAATGTATCTTACAGGCACCAGTTAGAGAATACAACCAAAGTACAATTATACTCAGAGTAATAGGTATGGTACACTTGTTTGCCAATCTCTCTTTTTTCTCTCTTGCAGTTGGAACTTTCAAAGTACTTTAATGTAAAGATTACTGTTTTGCCTTGCAGGCTGTCCAGAGGAATTGCAAAACCTGAAACTCAAAAAATACACAACAGAACTTGTCCTGCTGAGCTCTATTGGGAGCTTCTATTTGTTACTTATCATCCTTACTTGTGTAAGTGTTTTCCACTTCTTTTTACCATAGGATTCTATTTACTGGCTTTTTTTTTCAAGTGTTCTTTTCCTTCCTGCATAACAAGAAAATGCAGATATACAGTATTGGCACCTTCACTATATCCTGTTTATTATCTCGCTTCACTCCAGGATTTAGAGGATTAATTTCTGAAGGAAGTTTCTAGCATGATTGTGGAGCCTGATTATGTTGTTTAGTGAAGAAATATTGGTTGTAAGCAAGACATACACAAATACAGGACATTGGAAGTTCATTGACCAAGATGTTAAGCTTCTGTGCGAGGCAAGGGTGGGGGGGGGGGAGAGAGAGACAGACATGACTGCAGATAATGATCTGTTTTATATGGAGCTGAAATGGTCAAGCTAATCAAGGAAGGGTGAAAAATACCTTCAAAGAAACAGACTGCCTGCATAAACAGTGAAGTGCAGCTGAGGTTCCTGATGTATTAACAGTGTCAATAACACTGAAAATTACACTGGACATAACACTTTGGATCATAAAATACCTTGAGTTAGGGGAACAGTTTCTGCCTAGTGAAAATTGCCAATAACAAAGCTATTCTGGTCACGGACTAAAAAAAACACAAAAACACATGGAAAGCCTTTATGGCAGGGGTGTCAAACTGCCGAGCCACGCCCACCCCATTGCCAGCAATGGCAAAACTGTCCCAATACGTTGTGCGACGTCACGTGACATCGCGAGTTTGACATGTCTGCTTTATGGGTTCCTAATCAATTTAATTCGGCAAGGGGTTGTTCTATGTTAATAAAAGACTTTCCTGCACAAAATTAACTTACATTAGGTAGATTTCCAACTACTTACATTTCAAAAAAGAACATTTAAGACTTTTATTTTATTCATTTATTATTTACATTGCCTGCAGACTTTTTGTTAAATTTAATAGACATGGTCTACAACAATGATTGGACCCAATAAGATATCAATATTGTTTCAGAAATGAGGATAGGGACATCTAATCCTGGACCAACATATGATAACTCCCCTTTATGAGATAGCTTTCAGATAAATAGACAGGATTGTATACAGGCTTATAAAACAAAAAAACAACATGAAAGAAAAAGAGGAAACCCATGGAGGTTTTTGGTTTTTTTTTACTTCAGATTACTCTTTAAGAATAACATGGTATAATCAGGCCATAGATGGCACATCTCTTCAGAACTCGAACTATTGACTTGTGAAGTACAGTAAGCCTACATGTAGTGATGATTAATAGTTTAGAGAAGTTCCAGATAATGAAGCCTGACTGTCAAGGGCCGGGAAAATCAGGAAATTCAGGCAGTTCAACTGAATATAAAGGTTTATTGAAGGCTTAAGATCTCTACAGGGATCTGAACTACAAATGGTCAAAGCAAACTGAATATGAAATTGATATGAATCAATGGAATTCAAGGTGGGCTGGACTTAGATTTCTTGTGAGTGCGAAGGGACTCCAGACTGATGACGTGCTTGACTCCTCCCTCAGGCTGAAGCTGGCCATCTCCTACACTACAAGTCAAAACCTCCTTCACCTTTCTTCCTTCTTTTCCCTTATAATAGACTTTTTTTCAATGAAATTAGGGAATGGGAAGCTTCTAAATTAGTCACTAATTGAGATATTTGAACTCAAGGCTAACATTTTTGCATCTTTGTTTTGGAATGGGCAAATATGTTTTAAACAATACGATTTTACCTTTAGAGATTAAGGGCTTAATATAATTTAAGGGATTAAGTTATAAATGCTAATAACTTATGACTTGCTTCTAAATTTATTCAAATTTAGGTTTCATGAGCTTTGGACAGTTTGCTTCACATAGTGTTTTCTTTTTTTAGACATGCATAAAAGAGAGAAGATCTGATCATCATAGATCTGAAAAGCAAACTCTACCTTTATAGTACCGGTTGAAAGAATGGTTTCTATTACCCAATATTGAACCGCATTGGTAAACACAATCTTATCAGTTAATTTGGTGGTGCTATCAAGGCTCTTTCCTGCTGATTTGATGGTGCTACAAGAAGCTCATCAATAGTACTATCTCATCAAATAGATATTGTCACAATACTGTAGATGAAGGATATGAAGTACATAATTGCCTCAGTCTGGTGCTCTTTAGGTTGGAACTACGAGGCCTCACATTTCACGACTGATGAGTATTTTGTGACTCATCAGGACTATCAGATGTAGTTTCAGATCTGTACAAAAATCCAAATGTCCCTCCCCACCAATCATTGACATTTTGGATTTATGCACATGATTGGTGGCTTTTAATTGCACCAGGTTCTGCATTCCTCCAGTTATGATGATAAGGCAAACAAGAACTATCACAGCAAGAAAAAAAGCTCAGAAATTACCCAGTGACTGAAATCTCATCAACTGGGATCTCAATTCCCTATATGGATTTGAAATCATTTCTGTATTGTAACATCTACTTAGTAGAGGTAAGAAAAAAATCTGAGAACATTACAGGTATTCCTTATTCAATGACCACTTGTCCAGCAACTGTTCAAAGTTATGATGGCATCGAACAAGGAGACTTACTGTACTTGTGACCACTGGAGGATCTCCATGGTCAAATGATTGCACATGGCAATCAGCTTGCAGTTACAATGGTTGCAGCATCCTGTGGTCACCTGATTGCTGTCTTCGAACAAGCAAAGCATTGGGAAAGCCAGCAGGAGTTCCAAATAGTGATGATGTGACATCCTGCCCAATGACCATGTGGGATTTACTTAATGATAGCAGCTGGAATTGCCACAACTGCTGTTGTAACTTGCCACGTTCATGTGATAATGCACTTCCAACTGTGCTGGAATGGTTAATGAAGGAACGGCCAATCCCAATTACTGTTAAGTGAGGACTACTGTATTTTACTTCCTACAAGATGAATATACATAACTTTCATAGTGTTGCTAAGTGTGTCATCTTGTTTTCTGTTTTTCTTTTTAATTTACAAACAATATGCTATAATGTTATATGGTGCTTTAGCTTAGCAAATAAATAACTGATTGAACCATCAGTTTCCATAACCAAATATAACAGGAACTGCAATATATGGTTGCAACTTGAAATGTTTCTTTCATGAGCTGGAGAACAGGAAGAAACTTTCCTGAAGTGTTTGATACATGTGTACGCTATGGCACACTATTTATTTGGGGGTCTGCCAAATCAACCTGTTATCTACTGAAATTGTGGTGTTCAGAAAAATGATTTCTCATAAGGAACTTCTCTGAAGAAAAGAGGATTAAATACCTGCAACAGAATTTATATTCGTTGAAAAAAGAGACACGAATGCATGAACTTCTTGAGTATCATTTTTCTATTGCTAATTTAAGTACCTTCTCCATGGCTGCAGCTTCTGTATCAAAATCAGAACAAATGGATTTCATATTTCAAACATGCATTTATTACCTGTGTGTGAAGGAGCCTTAAATAATCCTTTCTCCCTTCCAATTTTAAACATAGCCAATGAATAGACTGTTGCTTAATTTAACCCCAACTTTCCTATCCTTTCACATGTTTTTTTTTTTTAAAAAAACAGAGTTGGAAGGGACTTTGAAGTCTAATAGTCCAACCCCCTGCTTAGGCAGGAACTCTATACCATTTCAGACAAATGGTTGTCCAATCTCTTTTTAAAAACCTCCAGTGTTGGAGCATTCACAACTTCTGGAGGCAGCTTGTTCCACTGGTTAATTGTTCTAACCGTCAGGAAATTTCTTCTTGTGGTAATTCTAGTTTGCTTCTCTCCTTGATTAGTTTCCATCCATTGCTTCTTGTCCTGCCTTCAGATGCTTTGGAGAATAGCTTGACTCCCTCTTCTTTGTGGCAACCCCTGAGATATTGGAACACTGCTATCATGTCACCTCTTGTCCTTCTCTTCATTAAACTAGACATACCCAATTCCAGCAACTATTCTTTATATATTTTAGCCTCCAGTCCCCTGATCACCTTTGTTGCTCTTCTCTGCACTCTTTCTAGTGTCTCAACATCTTTTTTACATTGTGGTGACCAAAACAGGATGCAGTATTCCAAGTGTGGCCTTACCAAGGCATTATAAAGTGGTATTAACACTTCACGTGATCTTGATCCTAAATCTCATTAGGGTCAAGGTTGCAGAGCAGAGCAGATGTAGGGCATCTGTTTGGGGAAGACTGACTCAGTCTTACTTGACAATATTCTCTCACGGAAGCAGAAGGAAGTAGCTTTGAGTGGAAATGCAAAGAATTATGTGGCAAACCTTGCCATAGTGTAATAAAGCTTTCCCAGGGTGTTGATTTGATGAGGCATCATTCATCAACCAGGAGAGCCTTCAGCATGGCTTGTTGCCTGACAAAAGTGAAAAAGGCAAAATAAATAGCAGAAGGTGGAAAGTGTGGTTTTATTGTCAGATGCATAAACATGGAATTTCCAGATGAAAAAACAACATTGCAATTCTATGTATCATATTCAAAAATAAATCTCACTATATTCATTGGAGCTTATTCTTGTGGAAGAATGCGGAAGACTGGGTGCTTATTTGTCATTTCTCCCTGGTGAAACTATTGCTAATAATTGTTTGAGTATAAGCTATATGAGTTGTATTTCTCCTTGGTTTATTGCTAGAAATTAATTTAATAAAATCGTGGTTTAAGTGCTGTTCTCTTTTATCCTTAAGAACATGATGTTAAAAACATCTATTTAAAGTTGCTCACTTTAAATAGAACAAAACATGATACAATAATCGTCTTTCCCAAATGCTACTGATAGCTAAATAACCTTCTTAAAATTATATTACTTTTGGGGGGGATTAAAATTGATTTTTTCTCATCAGTATGTAAGGAAAACAATGTTAGAGAATATTATTATGACTGAAAAAGGCTACATGTTTACACATACAGTATTTTATATACCTTCTTCTTTCTCCAAATAACTACAGTATGTATACAATTCCAATTTTTACATCCAAATTCAGAGTTCTGAATAACACAGTAGCAAGTATTAGACAATCAGCTTCTATATTACTCTATCTTACTGTGATTAGCAGTCACTTCTGCAATAATCTACAAGTAGCAATGAAAATACGGAAGATCATTATGCAAATTTCATTTTTAATGAATTCAAGTCAGCGTGTGGCAAATAGTAGAATTTAAATCTGCTTTATAAGTAAACTGAACAGTGATTCTTCTGTTGTTAGACCATAGGTATGTGCCCAAGGTACACCTTAGTCCTCTGTTTAGTTTTTACTGTGATCCAAGAGAAATAGGCAATTTTCAATCCTTTTGCATACCTGTGGGGAGAATTCAGGATATAAAGATTGCAATTTGAAAAACTCCTGAACTAATTGAGCAATGAATAAGTAGAAAGATGGGAAGACCAGGATGGTAGATTAAGAGAGGAATAAATCAATCGAAAGGCAGAGATTTGACTACACTAGATATACTGTATATTGGGTGCTACTCGTAATTGGTTTGTTTTCTCACAATGTTTGCTATTTTGTATAATTTAAAAGGCTGTACAATAAAAAGAGTCAACATGAAAAAGCAATTTTATCTTTCTGACTCAAAATGTAGATGTCGCATAGAGAGCTGCAAAGATAACCTTGGCGAAAGTATGTAGCAATTGTTATAAAAATATGTTTTAAGCCTGTGAAAAAAGGAAACATTAAAAAGAAACTTAGATGGTTCTACTTAATTCCTTGGGATATAAGAAGAAGGTAGGAAAAACACAGTCAAGCTTTCAAGGTTTGGCTACTGTAGCCTATATCAGTTTCTCTCAACCTTGGCAACTTGAACATCTATGGATTTTAACCCCCAGAATTCCCTGGTTGGAAGGGGAATTCTGGGAGTTGAAATCCAAACATGTTCAAGTTGCCAAGGTTGAGAACCCTGTCCTATATTAATAAAGCATACTTGCTCATTCTTGAGGAATACATTTCTTGACATGGCCTACTTTGAATGGTTGACAAGTTATCCCAGGTGTTCATTGTGTATGTATGTGGCAACCTTGAGACTGCAACCTCTTGAAGCAGACATGAAGAATAACTGCCTCTGTCTATAGGCCAAAACTTCACTGAGATTTATCTACTCTAGGAAGATTCAGAAACTATCTCCTTATCTGAGTACTGGCACAATGTAGAATTAAACTGAAGTTATAGCATAGAATTTTATACAGTAACCACTAGATCAGGGGTAGGCAACCTTGGCTCTTTTATGACTCGTGGACTCTCAGGAATTCTGGGAGTTGAAGTCCACGAGTCATAAAAGAGCCAAGATTGCCTACCTCTGCATTAGGTAAAGCCCAGTTCAGAGTACACTATTCATACTGATTCCATTTATACCTTGAAGCTACTTGCTGCACAATAACTGGCACCATTCTCCCATGAGTTACAATTCAGTGGAGCTGATACACTGAATCTGCACATGAAACCTGAACCACTGAAGCTTAGGTTTATGGATATTTTAGCTACTTCATAAACCGAAGCTGTTAAATATTATGCCTACATGCAAAAGTGCCATGTGGATTTAAACCATGCCGTGAAATTTTGATAGATGACAAAGTAACTAAAAATCCTTTAATTAGGAGAGGCTTGGTTAATATTAAAAAGGCATATCTTGGCTGGTTTTTTTCCTTTCTTTTGGCATTTTTTAAATTTAAAGGGTTTGTAGATCCTAAAAAACTAATGACCTGAACTATAATTCTATCATACAGTATTTGACTACAACTATCTCTGTGACTGGACATATCTAATAGTTGAAAGTAAAAAAGTAATGTTAATGCAATAATCCTTATGCTTTCTAAAATTTCCTCCTTGAACCAGTTATAAGAGACTTCTCTTTGCCTTTCCCAGATTTAAACAGTCTGTCTTAGTTTGCATGTCCTTATTTTGCCAGTAGTATTATGGAGGAGAGTCATAGCTTCCAAATCTGTGTACAAGTAGTCCTTGACTTACAACAGTTCATTTAGTGACCATTCAAAGTCACGATGGCACTGAAAAAAAGTGACTTATTACCATTTTTCACATTTACAACCACTGCAGCCTCACCACGGTCACATGATCAAAATTCAGATACTTGGCAACTGACTCATA